CTCTGTCGCCATAAACAATACATGGGCAATCGATTTATTCAAGTTCACCCAATTACTAAGAAAGGTATGCTAGAAAAGATAGATATGATTAGAAAAAGACTGCAGAACTGCAACTATGACCAGAGAGAAATGTTAAATCCAGAAGGGGATGTTAACTCTGCCAAAGTCTGTGCCCACATAACAAATATTCCATTCAGTATTACGAAGATGGATGTTCTTCAGTTCCTTGAGGAAATCCCAGTGGATGAAAATGCTGTACATGTTCTTGTTGATAACAGTGGGCAAGGTCTAGGACAGGCATTGGTTCAATTTAAGAATGAAGATGATGCACGTAAGTCTGAACGCTTACACCGTAAAAAACTTAATGGAAGAGAAGCTTTTGTGCATATATTTACTCTAGAAGACACGAGAGAAATTGAGAAAAATCCTCCTGCTCAAGGCAAAAAAGGGACTAAAGATGTCAGTGCCAGGTAATCCTCCTGTTCCAGTAATGCCCAATGCCGGACTGCCTGCTGCAGGAATGCCCGGTGCAGGATTGCCAGCTTCAGGACTGCCTGGTGCGGGAGTTCCTGGAACCAGAATACCTGGTGCGGGAATATCCGGCACGGGGATGCCTGTCACGGGGATCCCCAGTGCGGGGATCCCGGGTGCGGGGATACCCAGTGCCGGAATACCAGGTGCCGGAATGCCTGGTGCAGGAATGCCTGGTGTGGGAATGCCTGGTACGGGAATGCCCGGTGCGGGATTGCCTGGTGCGGGATTGTCCAGTGCAGGAGGTGAAGAGCATGCTTTCCTGGCTGTAGGCTCAAAGAAGGCCAACAGTGGACCTCCTTTTAACTTTCCTAGTAATTTTGGTGGGTCGAACTTTGGACCACCACTCCCTCCTCCAGGATTAGGAGGGGCCTTTGGTGATGGTAGGCCTGGTATGCCTTCAGTTGGAAACAGTGGTTTGCCTGCTCTAGGACTGGATGTTCCAGGTTTTGGAAGTGGACCAAATAATTTAAGTGGGCCATCAGGATTTGGAGGGGGCCCTCAGAATTTTGGAAATGGTCCTGGTGCTTTAGGGGGCCCTCCTAACTTTGGAGGGGGCCCTCCTGGTCTTCGAAATGCCCCAGGTCATTTGAGTGGGCCACCAGCCTTTGGGCCTGGCCCTGGCCCAATCCACATTGGGGGTCCCCCTGGCTTTGGTTCTAGTTCTGGAAAACCAGGACCAACAGTCATTAAAGTGCAGAATATGCCCTTTACTGTGTCTATTGATGAGATTTTAGATTTCTTTTATGGCTATCAAGTAATCCCAGGCTCGGTGTGTTTAAAATACAATGAAAAAGGTATGCCCACAGGTGAAGCCATGGTGGCCTTTGAGTCTCGAGATGAAGCCACAGCTGCTGTCATTGATTTAAATGACAGGCCTATAGGGTCAAGGAAAGTAAAACTTATATTAGGATAGCTGTTCACGTAAATACATTGTAGTGTAGATCTACATAGTGCTGTGATTAATCCACCAAGATTGTTTTCATAGTATTTCCAGGTTAGAACCTGTGGATTGTTTAAATCACAAGTAGATTGGTTTTTCCGTAACATAGCATTGGTTGACTGTTTACAGAAGACTCGTTACCAGAATAAACATTGTTGTGTGTTACAATTCTGAAAAGAACACAAAAATTATTTTGGCATACCATTAGAGAAACTATTTGTAAAATTCAAATTATCATATAAAGCTTATCAAGGAGACTAGATTGGTTTTATTTTATGCCATATGGGATGAAGAAATTTAAATGTCCTTAGAGCTAATTTAAAGGTGCTCTTACCAGCCACTGATAAATTTGAATTGGCTACTTTTGGAATTTGGTTAAAGCTGGACAGATTTGCTTTGTTACAGGGTCAAAGCTTTGTCTAAAGTCCTCATTTTCTTTCAAATTGAATAAAATCTCTGTATACAGATTCATTGTATGTACTTTTATTGCTTCTTGAGGATTCTTGCTGTATAGACAGTCCTGCTTCTGAAATTGCTGCTTTGTTTTGCCTAATTGACTCATTTGTAAATGAGCAGAACTGTGTTTTTGTTTTGTTTTTAAATATAAACCTTCATACTTGGTCTATAATATAACCTTAAGCTTTGATTTCTAATGTCACACTAAAAACTGTAGAATAAGAGATTTGCCACAAAAATAAAAATACAGAGTCTTCTACTTAGGAGCACTTTGAACACCAATTTTAGTCAGTTCATATTGTTTGAATAGTATTGAAAACCAGAAACCACTTTTTTAATAATTAGTGTTTAAGATTTGAAAACCTTTCCAGATGAACTACTTGTTCTGGTAATTTCCTCCTGTCTCAATTTATGTGAAGTTTTGGCCTGTATATAAATAAAAGGGGATATATATATATTTTCAAAAGAAAGCATAATCGAACAAAAGATCTGTAGGCTTATCTATAGGATGATAAGCATTTAATCCTATTACTTGGAAGTGTTTTCTCATCATTATTCTATCAGTACCCTCTATACAAAAATTCTTCATAACAGACTTCAAGTGCAGCTGCCAGAGAGAAGAGGGTTGAGATTTTTCCCCCCTTTTATACTCTTTGATTTGTGACACTAAAGGAGGAAGACCACATGGGTTCTAGTTGATGAATGTTCTTGTCCTAAAAACATTAGATTTCAAATGTCCTGTTTACTGCCACAAAAAGTAGTGCTTATAGTTGCATTCCCTCTTAGTTAAAATGCTTTTAAGATGTGTTACGCACTTTTACAGACATATAGAATGAGAGATTGGTAAAATATCATGAAAAATTTTTGTCCTTTGCATAACCACTTTATCTTGGTTTTGAAACACTCTCAGCATTTTCTACAAATCACTGTTCTTAAAAAGGAGGCAGCCTTATTAAAATAATTGTTTCTGATGTTAAAAATATAGTGCCTTTTTGGTGTTGCAAGTCAGTGGAATACTGAAATATATAGTGTTATATGATTTCGAATGTAAGAGTGGCAACAATTTATAAGATTTTGAAAGCCTTTCATTATTCTTAGAGGATTGACAGTACAGAATTTTTGCTTAAGGAAAGACTTATTTTGACTTTTCAAAGAAGAAGTGGCTACATTTTAGTTTTTTTTGATAATTCACAAATTTGTTTTGACAGATAACTTGGTATATTGTCTCCTCAAATTAAAAAGCAATATGTTTGTATACAGTGTTCAGTTTTTAAGTTTGCTGTTAAGTAATCATTTTTCATTCCAAAGACAGAGTTCAAAAACATTAAGAGTGCTCTTTGAGGATCTTTATTTCAGCTACAATGTTCCCCCTTCTCCTTTCATTGGAAAGCTCACTGTTTTAATTTTAGAAAAATGGGTTGTTGAAAGAAAAGTCCTTTTTCACAATCTGTGGTCATACATTCTTATTAAATATTTTATATATTAGCTATTTCGTTATTTCTGCATCTTAGATAAGTACTGAAAAGGAAAATTTTATTTCATTGTTCATAAAAATTAAATAAAATAGTGGTTTGTGTAGAAATGTAGAGAACTGTTTCTATTTGGTTGAATCACAAGAGAGAACTGTTTCCTGTTTGGTTGAATCACAACAGTGTGGGGCTTTTTTTGTTGTGAAATGTAATTAAATGCTATGCTCTCTGGAACTTGAATTTTGTATACCTGAGACTTATTAACATAGTGCTAACTCCTAAGTATACTATTTAATTTGTTTGGAGTGTTGGGAGATTCTGGGTTTTTTTTTAAAAAAAAAATTGAAGATACGTTTTGTGAAATTTTTCATAATCCTCAAATTTTCTCTTAAGTAGATTTGGGGTGGAAACAAATTTATGCTTTTTTTCATATGCTTTGTATAGGCTGAAGGATTTGTAAAGCTTTGCGTTCATCTGTAAACACTATCACAATAATTTCATTTTTCTGTGTAAATTTTATTGTCTGTTTTCAGGTATCTTTTCCATTAGTTTAATACTCTTTATGCTGAGTTTTAATTCACACTTACTTTTCTTTTGGTTTAAAAGAATAAGACATCTACAAAATGTATTTTATAAATAAGTAAATTTGTAAAAAATCTTAAATTTTAGTGAACATCTAATTCACAAGCAGAATTTAGAATTGTGTTCTGTGTTTATACTATAGCTTGGATGTACAAATACTAGTATTGGGGTTTCTTTGGTTTTTGGTTGGTGGTTTTTGTTTGTTTTTTTAAAATTCAATACAGTGTTGAGTGAAATGTGGTTGCTAGCTATATCTTCCATATTGTCAGGGTATTGACAATGAAAATTGCATTAGAAAAGTTTTGTTCAGAATTTCACAGAATAATATTCAATGTAGTTAAGGTCAGTCATAACCCACTAGATAAAAATCTAGGGCTGTATGTGGAAGTAAACAAACATGAGTGTGTTTGGTGGAAATAACCACCTTGGATGATATTACTGTTGCCTGAAAACCTTATAAATACCCTTTTATTAGATTGTGTATAGGCATGAGTCAAATGTGTGAAAAATTAGGGGGGGAGTCCATTCATTGAACTTTTTTTTTTTAAAGAACATCTAAAATGTAAAATAGCTGCTAGTCAAATCTTAGAATTTCTGGGAGTAGGCTCTATTAAAAATTATTTCCTATCTTTGAAAAATTGCCAGATTTACTCTTTTATTGGCAATTCTACAGTAGCCCAAACTTTAGAAACCAAACTCAGAAGTGGCTCATTGCCAATATAGTTACAGCATTGCCAGCAGATAATACTTTGGCGTCCTATAGCAGAGGATTTTGTCTTTAATACTGTTCAATAAACTTGTCACAAAACAAAAAAGGCTGATGCTTTTAATACTTTAAATATTTTGAGCGCTAACGGTATGTTTTCTGGGGGGATAAAGTCAATGTCTTAAAACAGATGTATTTTTATTGCTTTAATTCTCCAAAATGTTTTGTGCCTTTGGGAAGATTGATGTAGTGATCCTGACAGTACCAATTGTTGATTATCCCTATCTGCTTATGCAGACGTGTGGAAGGAAGAGGATACCTGGAAAAGCAGGGAGAAAACTGATCCTGGTGTTAACCTTTCAGAGTTTTATTTCATTAGTGTGTTCTTTTGCTAGTAAGTTAATTCATTATGTGCATTCAGAGAGAACTGGAAATAAGTTACACCTTTTCATAGAAGGAGTTTGAAAAGGGTTTGTGACTATACACTGAGTATGATAAAGACATAGGGCAAGGAATCTTTGGGTGTCAGTTGCATACACCTCTTTGTTACCTTAATTTGTTTTTGCACTAGTATGAGCTATATTAGTTTGGATGAAAGGCAAGGAATCAGAAGTATTGCTGCTTTCTGAAATTGATGTTCTGGTTTGTCCTTTTCGTGTTTGTACAACTCAAACTGGGAAAAAAGTTTAGAAAATTTAGTTTTTTCTAAATTCCATTATTCCCCACCCCTATGCTGTTTTTCAATCTCAGTTGGAGTTGTGGAGAAATTTGTGGAATGTTCTCATAACAAAAGCTCTGATAAAATGTTTTTAATAATTAATCTTTTAAAAGTTTATATATTCAGATAACTTTAAGGGATTTTGCACCATACATTGTAAGGAGTCGCTCTAAGCTTTTATAAAATTATCCGTTCGATTAAACATTTGAAAAGTAACTGACATCCACTACCCACAGAGATTTGGAATCGTCTTACCAATATGGATTCTAATAGATAACTCAGGAGAACTCATTTTTAGAATGAATTCTTGTTTGCTTTTTAGTGGTTTATACTAAGAAATAGCTTATTAGTTTATGTGCATCATCACCATTCTCTTAACTCATCCCCCAAAGTGGAGCTTGTTTTTATAGAAGATGATTGAATCTAAACTTAGGACTATCTTTTTTTTTTTTTTTTTTTGGTTGTTAAAAAAATATGCTTCGTGTCCATTTAGTCTTTCTTAGAATGAAATCTAATAGGTCATATTGGCTCACTGTAAATATTTTAGAAATAATGTTTTGGAGTGGTGGCACAATTTCATGATGTTGTAGTGACTTCTCTGGGAAAACCCTTTCTTCTGGTCCCCAATGTTAAGGAAGTTACCTCCCATTGGTGCCTGCTCAGGTAAATGTTAACTTGTTACCACACTGTTCCTATGTTTATTCTTGGCACTTGGAGCTACTTTGTGCAAGAGAAGCGCAAGCATCTTTTTCGGGATCAACATAACAAGCAACTAAGGTAGCATTGTTTCTACATACTACTCTACTACTAAAGAATTCAGAGGGGCCAGAAAACCACCTAATACAGACTTTCCAGCCCCAGGGAGAGAAAGCTACCCACCCACTGCCATTGAGTTGATTCTCCCTCAATGGCAACCTTCCACTGGGTTTCTGAAGCCGTACATCTTAGCAGGAGACTGCCTCATCTTTCTCCTGTGGAGCAGCTGGTAGGTCCAAACTTCTGACCTTTCAGTTAGCAACCCAAAACTTAACATACTACATCT